CAGAGACCCAGCACCCTTGTATCTTGGTGTTCTCTGGGTCCACGTCACACTTTGCCTCATGGTCTAAAATGGCTGCTCCAGCTCCAGCCACAGTGTCCACCTTCTAGCCAGTAAGAGAAGAAAGGGTAAAGTAGAGCATGCATCCGAGCGTCTTCAGGAGGGTATGTGACCATTCTGGCAGAGTTGAGGTCCTCGAGAAGCAGCACATCCTTGGACAAGAGTTTGGATGTAAATAGTTTGAGAAGTACTTCCAGAAAGCGCCAATAGGGAAGTTGGGCCCCGATCTGGGACACAGATAGGGCACCTGCAGGGCTGTCTGTCCTGCCTAGCTTGACCCGGGCTGTGAACAGCGGGTCCTGTGTCTGCCTTTGCGTGGCTGAGTACACGCACTCCAGCAGCGTGTGGCAGATGTCACGCCTGTCGTGTATCTGCCCACGGGCCGTGTGTTCGAGTCCTGGAGGAGGCTGCTTTCCCGGTGTCTGGACGGCCCAGGCCAGCGCTCAGGCAGCTGACATGCAGGACGGAGGCAAAGACAATGTCTCCAGATGCAGCTCCAAAGATGGCTGGGGCGCAGACGAGTCTGTGTCAGCGTAGCTGGCAGGGGTTGTGGGTGGCTGCCAGGCTCCTCTCCCGGCTGCTTTCCCCACCCTTGAGGTGCCAGAGGGTCTCCCCCTGTGCCTACCAACTCCTGTCTGGGCTGTCTCCTGTGGGGCCAACCAAGATGGTAGCCCCCCCCCACCAATCCCTATTGTGACATCCTGAAATATACACAGAGAACCCATGAATGTGCATTAGTGCAGAAGGGCACGTGTGCACACACGTACACGCATACACACACGTGCACACAAGCAGAATGTAATGGACATGGATGGATGATGGATAGATGGAGGGATGGGTGGGCAGATGGATGGACAGACAGGGACAGGCATTGGAGGACCCCCAGAACCCACACTTTCTGTTCCTTAGTTGAGGTCCAGCAAAGCAGTGCTTCTGCCCCAGCCTCCCCTCCCCCCCCCCCAGGCGTGGAGGGGCTGCGTTTGAGTTGTGCCCCAGGCACACATTAAAAGCACTCTGTGGCATGGCCAGGAGCTGCTGGGCGGTGAGGCAGGGCCGTGCCGCCCAGCCACAGCCTGGAGGATGAAGAGAGTCTGTGTGTGATGGGAGAAAGCGGCCCGGCCTCCAGGGCCCTGAGCGGCTGATGCAGGTCCCCACCAGGGGCCATGACTCAGAGAGACGCAGCGAGCCGGAAAGGCCCTGGCAGCGGCCGGATTCATGACAGCGCTGGGCACAGCAGTGAGACGAGACAATTGGAAATAGGTCTGGGTTTCTGTCTCACAGAGTGGGCATGGAAGTGGCCAGTAGCTCAAGTGGAAGAGCTGAGGGACAGCGCCCAGGCCCAGAGTTCAAGCCCCATGACCAATAAAATAGTGGGCAGGCAGTCCCCCAGAACTGATGTGGCACCCCACAATGCTAGGGGCCTGGTACCTTTGCTCATCTCTGAGGACAGTGACTTTTTTTTTTTTTTTTGGCCAATCCTGGGACTTGAACTCAGGGCCTGGGCACTGCTCTGAGCTTCTTTTGCTCAAGGCTAGCGCTCTGCCACTTGAGCCACAGCACTACTTCTGACCTTTTCTGTGTATGTGGTACTGAGGAATCGAACCCAGGGCTTCATGCATGTGAGGCGAGCACTCTACCACTAAGCCACCTTCCCGGCCTCTGACAGTGACTTCTCTTTCAAAGTTGGCCTCCTGGTCCAACTGAGGACAGAGGGGCCTGAGGTAATGCCAGAGAAATTCCAGAACATACACAGCTGTATTTAAGTTTCAGCCAAACTTTTTTTTTTTTTGCCAGTCCTGAGGTTTGAACTCTGGGCCTAGGCACTGTCCTGAGCTTTTGTGCTCAAGGCTAGCACTCTACCACTCGAGCCTCAGCTCCACTTCCAGCTTTTTGTGGTTCAGTGGACATAAGGGTCTCATGGACTTGCCTGACAGGGCTGGCTTCAAACGGCAATCCTCAGATCTCAGCCTCCTGAGTACCTAGAATGGCAGGTGTGAGCCAGTGGCACCAGCTCAAACAACTCTGTGTGTGTGTGTGTGAATCGTATCCCTCTCATTCTCTCATTGCAGGGGACACATGAAGGCTGACAAAAATACTTGCTGTTTATCTGAAACTTGCTTTTGATCAGCACAATCACTGGCGGAAGCCAGCTGCTAGAGGAGCGCAGAGGAGGTGTACAGGCTGGGAGGCAGGGGTGAGGTCACTTGGTCTCTGAGAGGAAGCACGATCAGGAAGACTTCCGGCTTCACTGGTGACCCCAGGCCTGTGGACCGGACTCCAGAGTGGGGATTCCTCACGGTGACCTCAGCAGGTCCCCACTCCACAGGCTCCCGGGCTGTTACCGGCCTGGACAGGCCCTCTCATCCCATCCGGTGTGTGTTACGCCGTTTCTGCTGCCGGAAGCAAATACGAGCCTGGCTCTATTCTGCATGTCCTCGCTCTGAGCCCTTCTCTCCAGTCACCCTGCAAGGACAGGGCTGACCCATCACGTCTGCATGACAAGGGACTGAAACCACCCCTAAGGGACAGCAGAGCCTTGCAGGGCAGACACCCCCCCAAACAGCAATGATAGCGCTGCACCCTGGAGCCGGGGGAGTCTTTTCCTGGGGACCCAATGGCTCCCTGCAGGTGATGACAGTGATCGCTTCTCCAGCAGCCCACGCAGAACCAGAATCGTGATGACAACAACCAGGCCACCTGTAAGCAGGAGTCCTAAACTGCGTGTGCCCCCTAAACCTAATGCTCAGCCTGCACCCCAAGGATGGCTGCAGACAATGTGAAGTGCCGGCTTCCCATGCCATGAAATCTTCCTCTGCCCTATTTCCTTCCTAACAAACTTTCTTATCACTGTAACACCATTAGTATCTTTAAAAAACTTTTTTTTGGTCGGTCATGGGGCTTGAACTCTGGGCCTGGGCCCTGTCCCTCAGCTCTTCAGCTCAAGGCAAGCGCTTTACCACTTGAGCTACAGCGCCACTCCCAATTTTCTGAGTGGTTTATTGGAGATAAGAGTCTCTCAGACTTTTCCTGCCCAGACTGGCAGATCTCAGCCTCCTGAGTAGCTAGGATGACAGGCGTGAGCCCCCGGCACCCCGCTCCATTAGCATCTTGCTTGGATCCTTTCCTTGCCAGACACAAGGATGGAGATAGAAAACTTCATCGACTCTCCTGACAACAGGGGAGCAGAGACAGACACACAATGATGAGAGAGAGAAAGAGAGAGAGAGAGAGAAGAGAGAAAGTACAATACAGAAGCAGCCACAGGACCCACGGAGCAGCCACAGGCAAGTGGCAGAAAGTGGCAAAGATCTGGGGAACTCAGACGATAGCGAGTGGGCCAATCAAGGCAAGCCGGAGTTCCTTCCTTGCTCAGGAGGTGAGGGGCCAGGCTTCCAAATGCAAGGAGACCACTGTGTGCAGACAGGGACATGCAGCAGGCTGTGGCAGCATTGATTCAGGGATTGGGTTGCAATCTCCAGACATCACACACCCTTGTTCATATACAAAGCCTTTCAGTCAGTAACTGTCCCCAAATAAAACTCAGTAACATCTGCTTACACACGAGCATTAATAAAAAGAGAATGAATGACCCAACAAAACACGGATGAACCAAAAAGAAAGGCAATGTCTAATTTACACATTTGATTTCAGTAAACAAATGCTCAGACACAAGGACTCTGGAAGGCAGAAAGAACGACATCAAGACTGGGCCTGAAGGCAGAGTTCCCCCCACTTGCCATAGCTAGCGCTGGAGACTAATGAGGGCGGCTGTGTGGTCCTCAGATGTCAGGGCTGGTCCAGATGCTGGAGGGGATTTCCAAATGGCAAAGGATGTTTGCTGACATTCTTGACAAAATATACTTTGCCTTTCCATTACCATAAGGGTCACATTTCTGGAAAATTCTGTAACATTGTAGCTGTAACATTTTCTAAAAAGACCTTACATAAGATGAACACCTTGCACGCACACACTCAGCGGACTTAAGTCGTAGGTCCCAGCAGCTGTTTCTTATCTCCAGGAAGGCCCAACCCTGTGGCAGAGAAGGTCATGAGACTGCTTTTTTGTTGTTGTTGTTGGTCGTGGGGCCTGAACTCTGGGCCTGGGCGCTGTCCCTCAGCTCTTCAGCTCAAGGTGAGCGCTCTACCACTTGAGTCACAGCGCCACTTCAGTTTTCTGGTGGTTTACTGGAGATAAGAGTCTCACGGACTTTCCTGCTTGGGCTGGCTTTGAACCGGGAGCCTCAGATCTCAGCCTCCTGAGTAGCTAGGGTGACAGGCGGGAGCCACCGGCGCCAGCCTGGCTGCCACAGCCATCTTCCCCTCTCTGCCTCCCCTCCACACCCTCCTTTCTAGTCTCCACAACGCGGGCAGGTTCCCTCTTCCTAGCCCTCCTCCCTCCCAAGCCTCCCCTTCCCGCCTCCGCTCTCCCTCACCCCTTCCTGCCCCCCACCAGGGTCTCATCTCCCCCCATTTCCCTCCTCTGCCCTGCAGGCCTCCCTGCCTCTCTTCCCTTCCCTCCAATCCCCCCCACCTCCCGCTTCCTCCTCCTCACGCCCTCCCTCCAGCTCCCCTCCCTTCTCCCCTCCCCAGTTCCCTTTCTCTACTCTTCCCCTTCCCCTCCCCACAAGCCCCTCCCCTCCTACGTCACGCGCGCCTTCCCTTCCCTCCCCTCCCCTGCCTCGCTCCCTTCCCTCCACCCGCTTCCCTTCCGGCTTCGCCCCGCCCCCGCCAACTCGCCCCGCCCCACACCAGGCCCAGGCCCCGCCCCATCCGCAGGCAAGGCCACACCCCTGAGGGGGGGTCACGGGGTCTACGGACACGCGGCGGACGTAGCGGCCCCGTCAGTCACGTGATCACGTGACGCGCTCCAACATGGCGGCGCCGTGGGGCCGCGGCGTCGCTTCCTGACGGGGCGGCGCGCACGGACGCGGCGGCTGCCGGCCGGGACGCCGGGCCCGCAGCCTCGCTTACTTCCTCGCTCGCGCCGCCCGCCCGCGGGGCTGCCGGCCCCCCGCCGGCCGGGGCCATGCAGGAAAGCCAGACTAAGAGCATGTTCGTGTCCCGGGCCCTGGAGAAGATCCTAGCCGACAAGGAGGCGAAGCGGCCCCAGCACTCCCAGCTGCGCAGGGCCTGCCAGGTGGCGCTCGGTGGGTGAGCCGCCCCGCCCGGCCCGGCCCGGCCCGGCCGTTACCCCGCCCGGCCTCCCGGCCTCCGCCTCCCCCGACCTCGAACCCCACCCTCCCAGCCTCCTCCTCAGGCCTCCGTGGGGGGCCGGTGCCCGGGCCGCCGGCGACTGGCCCAAGGTCACCTGGCAAGTTGGTGACAGCCAGGGCCGGTTCTCCTGCCGCCCGGCTCGGGGCCCCTGGCCACGGCTCCTCGCTCCTGGCTCCTCCCCTCCCCAACTCCAAGTCCTCGGAGGCAGTTGCCCTTGCCCCAAGTGTGTCTCTTTACCCGGACCATACTGGTGGGAGCTCCCTCGCGAACGGGGCAGGTCGCGAGAGTTGCCCAACCGGAGTTGGGTGACCCCCGAGGCTGGCTTTGGAATGGTCCGATTGGAGTGTTTTCTCACCATTGGGGGCTTTTCCGTAGCTTTCCCCTCACAGCCGCTTACAGGGTCCTCTGCGCCTTCCCGGCATGGTACCATGCAAGACACCTGCCTATTCTGCGTGGCCCCTAAAATGCAGGGCCTGCAAAGGAAGGATACTGTCTGCTTTTTTCCCCAGCTGTGTCTCTTGCACCTGGCACAGTAAATAATTTGCTGATTGAATGGACCAGCAGATTAGAAACGAGGGAGAGAAGTCTAGTTACAGTCTTGCTAGGCGATGCCCACATCAGCCGTCTTCTGGTTATCTGTCAAATGCCCACTGTGTACCAGGCCCAGCTGTAGACACTAAGAATAGGGTGGAAACCAAGACCTGCCTGGGAGAGCTCATGTGCTAATAGACAAGTTAAGAAAGTTAAGAAAACAAGTTAGGAATTTGTGTCTCTGTATACCTGCCACTATTGGGGCTTGAACTCAGCCTGGGGGCTATTAGCTCTGTGTGTGTGTGTGTGTGTGTGTGTGTGTGTGTGGTGTGTGTGTGTGGTGCTTGGGGGCTATTAGCTGTGTGTGTGTGTGTGTGTTGCTTGGTTGTGGGGTTGAACTCAGGGCCAGGACACTGTCCCTGAGCTCTTCTGCTCAAGGCTGGTGCTCTTCCACTTTGAATCACAGCTCTACTTCCAGTTTTCTGGTGATTAAGTAGAGATAGGAGTCTCAAGGACTTTCCTGCTTTGAACCATGATCCTCAGCTCTCAGCCTCCTGAGTAGTTACCATTACAAGTGTGAGCCACCAGCACCCAGCTGTCCTTGAGCGTTTTTTTCCCTCAAATCTAGTACTCCAACATTTGAGTCACAGCTTAGCTTCTGGCTTTTTGGTGGTTAATTTGAGATAAGATCGCACAGATTTACCTGCCCAGATTGGCTTTGTTTGTTTGTTTGTTGTTGTTTTTGTCGGTTGTGGGGTCTGAACTCTGGGCCTGGGTGCTGTCCCTCAGCTCTTCAGCTCAAGGCGAGTGCTCTACCACTTGAGCCACAGTGCCACTTCCGGCTTTTTCTGCTTATGTGGTGCTGAGGAATCGAACCCAGGCCCTCGGGCATGCGAGGCAAGCACTCTTACCACTGAGCCACCTTCCCAGCTCCAGATTGGCTTTGAACCTTGATCCTCTGATCATCTTATTTCAGGTGTGAGCCACCAGGATCTGTCAAATTAGGCATTTTTGAGTATTAGCAAATACAATTCGTTAACATAATAGGAAGAAGTGAGATGCAGAACCAGAGTTTTGCTTTAAGTATGGGATAGTTGGAAAAATAATCCTTTCTGAGAATGTGACATGAGTTCAGTTGTGAAAAACAAGAAGTATTCTCCATGGGAAACTTCAAGAGCAATGTTCTGGGCCAGGAGGATGGATCCATATGACTGTTGCTATCTTCAAGCTAATTCGGTACCCCAATGCTTTTGCATTGGAATCTGTTTGAAAAAAAAAAAAAAAAAGCCTGACTTTTCTAACAAATTGAATAAGTGGAAAGGCTTCAGTTTAAGATCGACTTCACCATTCTCTCTTCATCTGGTGTAAGAGAGTTCTCTTGCAACCTAGAAATTGACTTATGTACTTTGCTCTTCCCTGGGAGGAAAATCGACAGTTTTTCTTAGAAGGATCTTCCTTAAGGGTCAAAAACTGTAGAGAGAGGGAGAAAGAGGTTGTTGCCTAGATAATGCAGAAGCAGTTGCTAATCTTGTGAAATTCAGCCTCTGTGGTAGGAATTTACTGCGGTTGAGAGAGAGAGAGAGAGAGAGAGAGAGAGAGAGAGTGTGTGTGTGTGTGTGTACGCACGCTGATCCTAAGACTTGAACTCCAGGCCTAGGTGCTGCCCTGAGCTGCTTTTTGCTCAAGGCAGAACTCTACCACTTGAGCCACAGCGCCACTTCTGGCTTTTTTGGTAGTTTATTGGAGATAAGAGTTGCATAGACTTTCCTGCCTGGGCTGGCTTTGAACCCTGATCCTCAGATCTCAGCCACTTGAGTAGCTTGGATTATATGCGTGAGCCACCAGTGAGGTTGAGATTGATAAAGCTTTTCTATTTTGATAATTAAGGCTGTTACATGTTGTTTTACCTGAAGTTGAGGGTGAGCATTATTACAAAGCAGTTAGTTAGTCAGAAGCCTGATATTGGTAACTCCACACTAAAGTCTGCCTGGGCACTGTCCTCTCAAACACTACTGTAAGAGTTTTATGGAAGTTTCAAAATGGTGATTTGTTTTCATTTCTCCTTAGGACATCATAGCATAAAGTTTTCACCACGTTTTATATCACATTATTGGAACTTAAAAAAAATCTCAAGGAGCTGGGTGCCAGTGGCTCATGCATGTAATCCTGGCACTCAGGAGGCTACTAAGGATTATGATTCAAAGCCAACCCCGGGCAGGAAAGTCTGTGAGACTCTTTATCTCCAATTAACCATCAAAAAAACAGGAAGTGGCAGCTCTGTGGCTCAAGTGGTAGAATGCTCACCTTGAGCTGAATAGCTCAGGGACAGTGCCCAGGCCCAGAGTTCAAGCCTTATGACTGACACACAAAAAAAAAGCATCAGGGACCATAAAATCAGAAAATTGAGACCTTATTAGGTACTCTTGGATCATATTTTTGCTCAAGAAGTTCAGATTTTTCTAACTCAAGTTGTAGGATGTGTGTCTTTAGTATTTTAATACTGGAATGTGAGAAATGGGCTAGACAGGAAGAAATTTGACTACAGATTGTAGAAGTTGGAGTGGTGACCCTTCCTCTGATGAGCCATGGTTCTGATGGTGCACAGGAACTTCTGTTTGTGTTGATTTAAAGTGTTCGTCCTCCAGAGAGTAATCCTGAGTCACTCCTATGAAATGGAAAGACTGCTATGTTTGCTTTTACTTACAAAGCAGAGTACCTGGTGATACTTTGCTTGATATCTTAAGGCCAGTCTGTGTCTAGTAGTCCTATTTGAGAAGAATGTATAAGAAGTGTGGTAATACGATTCATATCTTGGAGACGTCTGTGTAGTCTGTCATTGTGTGTGTGTGTGTGTGTGTGTGTGTGTGTGTGTGTGTTTGTGTATTGCGTATGTGTATTGTGCTGGTCCTGGGGCTTGAACTCAGCCTGAGCACTGCCCCTGAGCTTCTTCAAGGCTAGTGTTCTACCACTTGAGCCACAGCTCTCTACTTCTGGCTTTTTGTGTGTGTGTCATTTATTGGAGATTAAAAAAAAGTCTTATGGACTTTCCTGCCTGGGCTAGCTTCGAAGTGCCATTCTCATATCTCAGCCTCCTGAGTAACTGGGATTACAGGTGTAAACCACAGGCCCCTGGCAACTGTGGTTAATTTTAATAAGAGAGATGGTGACTGGTACAACTTGAAACAACTTACAGGACATAGTTTCTGGCTAGGATTCCACCAGCTGAAGCATGTTGTGGGATGGGAGTCAGGGCTGTCAGGGCAGTATCTCATGGAGGTTGGAAGCTACGAGCCCCACCCCCGGGACCCAGGACTTCTGCCTTGCACTTTCTATGCTAGACAGGTTACTTAATCTTATACATTCCTCACAGGGTTTCTATAAAGATTTACTTGACTTGTACAAAGAATGTGGTATGTAGTAGGTACCCAGTACATGTGATGATTATTTCTGGTGCCGGTCCTAGGGCTTGAACTCAGGGCCTGGACACTGTCTCTAACCTTTTTTTAAGGCTAGTATTCTATCACTTGAGCCACAGCTTCACTGCCATTTGTTTTAGTAGTTAATTAGAGTGAAAAGTCTCACGGGCTTTCTTACCCAGGCTGGCTTTGAACCATGATCTTCAGATCTCAGCCTCCTGAGTAGCTAGGATTGTAGGTGTGAGCCACCAGTACCTGGTTTCTGTTAATATTTTAAGATGCAACAAGCCACATAAAATGCAAGTGCTCTGATTTGATGAGCTTTTATTCTATTCTTTAATTTTTGTTTGTGTGTGTTTCTGGCAGTATTAAGCTTGATCCCAGAACTTTATGCTCTGCCCTTTTTATTTTGGTTCATTTTGAGATAAGGTCTCAGGTTTTTTGTTTGTTTTCTTGTGTAGACAGAAGCTAGGTCTTCCTGTTTATGTTTGACCCACCACCACACCCAGATGTTTCTGTGGAGTTGGGATGATGCCTGGAACCACAATGATGGTCTCTCTGTGTAGCTGGGAAGACAGGTGTATACCACCATACCCAGCTCCATTTGTTGTTCTTAACATTGAGTCTCCATTTAAGAATGAGTTACTTCTGTTTGATTTGTACATGTAATAAATAAGACTAATTACATGACAGAAAGGCTGTATTAACTTGCTAAGGTCAGTGAAGCCAGGGCTGTTCCCTTGTGCAGTCAGTGATAATCAAGATGGAACAGGATTGGACTAATGTCAGTGACTCATCTGTGTAAATACCAAATGCACAGGTGACTGTCCAAATGGAGTGAGAGTGGTTATCACCCTAAGTATGTTGCTCTTGCTTTGCTAATGAAGCCTTGACATATATTAATGACTTCCAACCTTTCAGCCTGCTGTTGGGAAATATAATTACATTCCTACAATTTCCCCTTTGTAGTTGTCTGATTTGAGACC